TTTTGGATAATGAAGACATCAACCCCTAGGGAAGGGAATTCAGGTATGAACCAAACAACTGTGCATCTTTGTATGTGACTCTCCCATCTGTTTACTTCTGTCCATGTCCAATTCTGTTGCCCTGGTCCAAATTGCCAAACCTCTTTCCTGGATTATTACAGCCACCTTCCTGTTGGTTGCCTTTTTCCCACCCTTCCCACCCTGGTATCTGTTCTCCTCATAGCAGCCAGGTGACCCTTAGGAACTGTAAGTCAGATTGCCATTCCTGGGATCAACAGCCTTTTTGGCTTCTTATTTTTATTAAAGTTATGACCTCTTTCTTTGGCTTTTACAGACCCTGCGCTGTGCTGTTCATCCCCCCACTGCCTCTCTGACTACACTTCCTGTCCTTTCTTGCTGTCTTTTCCAGACACATTGTCCTCCCTGCTATTTCTGTGTCTTGCCGAGGACACTGTATTGCCTGTTCCTGGTAACCAGTTATCACAAACTTAGTGGATTAAACAACAAACATTTCTTATTTTTCTGTTCTTTAGGCCTGAAGTCTGGTGAATCTCACTGGACTTAAATCTAATTGTCTGTAGGGCTTCATTTTTTCTGAGTGTTCTGGGGCAGAAGAAACCTATCCTTTGGTTTACCTGGATGCCATTGCAGGTATCCAGGGACTGTGCACATTCCTCAACTCTTACTTCCCTTCCTCCATCTTCAAAGGCAGCCACTTTGTATCTCTGACCGTTCATTCCTCCATAGTCATAGAGTAGCTTCCTCTGCTATTCTGCCTATGCCTCTGTCTTCTACCTTTCAGGTCCCGTGTGATTATTTTGGTCACTCCTGGATATCCCAGGGTGAGCTTTTTATTTTTTGGCCTATACCTCTCAGATTGAGGATAAGACTCAGACCTCTTTTTACTGAGGTTAATTTCTTCACTTCATAAGGATACACAACATAAACTAAAATATATAAAGTATTGATTATGTTATTGTTTCTCCTTAAAGTTCCCTTTGAATCATATTTCATTATGTACGTACTTATTAGTTACATAATTTACCATGCAAGCTTATTAGTTACATGATTTACCCTGCAAGGTTTTATTTCTACCAAGAGTTTAAGATAGGAGACTTGGCGTGCTTCTGAATTGGTCTCATACAGTGCAGAGACCATGGTGCACTTGAAAACACTATCTGAACATACCTTGTATTCATAAAAGTTTCATGCCATGTCCTAACTGGAAATTTGATAATACTGAATAAAGGCTTCACTTGTCCATGTTTCTTAATTCTGTTTTCTGATAGGAGACAAAATCCAAACTGAGATGGAGACTATTCCAGAAGCAGGATCACATGAAGAGTTGTCCTGCCAGCAAATCTTGGAACAAATCGCAAGTGACTTAACCAGGTCTCAGTTCTCCACACAAGGTGATATGGCCTGCCAAGTTGAGACAGGACTGTCTATTATTCACATAGGAGAGAAACCTTACCTGGGTCATGAGAGTGAACAGTCCTTCAGTGATATCTCAATCTTTGACCTTTATCAACAATTACACTCAAGAAAGAAGTCTTATACATGTAATGAGTGTGGAAAAAGCTTCTGTTATAACTCAGCTCTTTGTATTCATCAGAGAATCCACATGGGAGACAAACTCTATAATTGTGATGTGTGTGGTAAAGAATTCAGTCAAAGCTCATATCTGCAAATTCATCAGAGAGTCCACACTGGAGAGAAACCATTCAAATGTGAGCAGTGTGGGAAAGGCTTCAGTCGTAGATCAGGACTTTATGTTCATCGCAAATTACACACAGGAGAGAAACCTTATAATTGTGAGCAATGTGGTAGGGCCTTCATTCATGATTTCCAGCTTCAGGAACATCAGAGAATCCATACTGGGGAGAAACCATTCAAATGTGATATATGTTATAAAAATTTTCGTAGTAGATCAAATCTTAACAGGCATTCCATGGTTCACATGCAGGAGAAACCATTCAGATGTGATACATGTGGTAAGAGCTTTGGTCAGAGATCAGCTCTTAATAATCATTACATAGTCCACACTGGAGAGAAACTATACAGATGTGAAGAGTGTGGAAAAGGTTTCATTCGTAGGCGAGATCTTTATAGACATCAGATGGACCACACAGGGGACAAACCATATAATTGCAAAGAATGTGGGAAGAGTTTCAGATGGCCCTCAGGTCTTTCAAGACATCAGCATGTGCACAGTGGAGAAACACCTTTCAAATGTGAAGAGTGTGGGAAGGGATTTCATACGAATTCACAACGCTATTCCCATCAGAGAGCCCACAGTGGAGAAAAGCCATACAAATGTGAGGAATGTGGAAAGAGTTACAAAAGGAGGTTGGATCTTGACTTTCATCAGAGGGTCCACAGAGGAGAGAAACTCTATAAATGTAAGGAATGTGGGAAGAGCTTTGGCTGGGCCTCCTGTCTTTTGAATCATCAGAGAATCCACAGTGGAGAAAAACCATTCAAATGTGAAGAATGTGGGAAAAGGTTTACTCAGAATTCACAACTTTATACTCATCGTAGAGTCCATAGTGGAGAAAAACCATTCCAATGTGAAGAGTGTGGAAAAAGATTTACTCAGAATTCACAACTTTATTCCCATCGCAGAGTTCACAGTGGAGTAAAGCCGTACAAATGTGAGGAGTGTGGGAAGGGTTACAACAGTAAATTTAATCTCGACATGCACCAGAGGGTCCACACGGGAGAAAGACCTTATAATTGTAAAGAATGTGGGAAGAGCTTTAGCCGGGCCTCAAGTATTTTGAATCATAAGAGACTCCATAGTGGAGAAAAACCATTCAAATGTGAAGAGTGTGGGAAGAGATTTGCTGAGAGTTCAAAACTTCATTCTCATCAGAGAATTCACACTGGGGAAAAGCCATACAAATGTGAGGAGTGTGGGAAGGGCTTTAGATGGGCCTCAGCTCATCTAACCCATCAGAGACTCCACAGCAGAGAAAAACCATTCAAATGTGAGGACTGTGGAAAGAGCATTGTACACAATTCATACCTTAAGGACCAGCAAGGAGATTATCATGGAGAAAAACCATACAAATGTGAGGAGTGTGGGAACAGCTACAAGAGGCGCTTGAATCTTGATATGCTTTTATCCTTATTTTTAAATGATACATAATTATTACACATATCTATGGGACACATTGTAATATTTTGATATATTTATACAATGTAGCGATCAAAACAGTGGAATTAACATATTTTTTATCACTTGAAACATTTATTATTCCTTTGTATTGGAAACCTTCAAAATCTGCAGTTCTAGCTATTTGAAAATAAACACTAAATTGTTGTTAAATCACCTTGTATTGCTGTAGAATGTCAGAACTTATTCCTCTATCTAGCTATACTTTTGTATCTGTTAATCAGTTTTGGCTGTTCCCCTATTCTTCCCTACCTCTAGTAACCATAATTCTATTTTCCACTTTTATGAGGTCAACTTTTTGAGCTTCCATATAAGAGCAAGAACATATATTTATCTTTCTGTGCCTGGCTTATATTGCTTAACATAATGTCCTCTAAAGTTTTATCCACATTGCCACAAATGTCAAGATTTTGTTCTTTTTCACAACTAAATGGTAATTGTGTGTATATGCCACATTTTCTTTATTTATTCATCTGCTGGACCTTTAGTTTGATTCCATATCTTGTCCTATGTCTTGGCTATTGTGAATAGTGTTTCAATAAACATGGGAGTACAGATGTCTTTTTAACATTCTCATTTCCTTTCTTTTGTATATATACCCAGTAGTGGGATTGCTGGACCACTTTTATCTTTATATGCATTAGAGAGTACATATGGGACAGAAGCCATGGAACTGTGGATAGTATGGTATATTCTTTGATCAGGCCTGAAGTTTTCAATTTCAGAGTGTCCACAGTGAAGAGAAAACTTAATAATGTGATGTGTGTGGCAAACTCTTCACTTCTTGTGAACAAAGATGATCTCATCTGAGTTCTCACATGAGGGAAACATTAAAAATGAGAGTCATGGGGTATGCACTTCACTTTGAGTTCATATTTTATAATTTATCACAGAATCCATCCTAGTGATAAATTTCATCTGGTTTTATTGGAGGAAAAACATTCGTTTAACTTAAAGTCTGCGATTTTAGCCATATGTCACTGTATCTAGTGGTGCTGGGACCACATAAGAGAAAATGCTCATACAGGATAAAGTGAGGGCTTCATTCAGAAGTTTGACAATTATAGTTGTTACTCAGGAGACTGGCTTTAGGATAAGGGTTTGCTCAGACATTTGCAAAACTCTAATGATTGGCATTGCCAAAGTTGTGGTCCACTAGAATGTAAGTTCCCTGAAGGCAAGGTTTTTGTTTGCTGCAAAATCCCCACAATCTTACTATTGATCAGCACTTTGTAGGTATGTTCAGTACTTGGTTGTTAAATGAATCAAAAGGAGAAAATGAACGTGCACATCAGCCTTCCATTCAAATGTGATATGTAAGAGATTGAGTTTGAGAAGGCCCTGAGCCACAGGTAAGTGCCCCCGAGGCCCATGGTGACCATTTCTCCTACATTACTTTCAAAATGAGTGAACATGAAGATCAGTCATGAAATTATTGTGTTTCAGCCTCAAAAAGAAATGGAATGGTCAAAAGTGAACAGAACCAAAGGGATGATGTGAACATCCTCTTTTTGGACCAAGTTATGCATTATAGGAGTCCCAGATGAAGAGGGAAAGGGGCAGAGAGCTTATTTAAAGAAAGAAGGAGTGAAAACTTCTCAAATTTGAGGAAGACATGGACCTGCAAATCCATGAAGTTGAATGAACTTCAAATAGGATAAACCCCAAAACACATTATAATCAAATCATTGTAAGCAGAAGACAAAGGAGAATCTTGAAAGCAGCAAGATGAAAGTGACTTGTCATGTAAAAGGGATCCTGAATTAAATCATCAATATATTTCTGTGCAAACCTCTGGGTCAGATGATATATTTTAAATTGCCGGAGGGAAAAGAATCTGTGTACTGAGAATTCTACATGGAGCAAAACTATGCTTAAAAAAGATAAATAAATACTTTCCCAGATAAACGCCAACAAAATTCATTGCTGGTAGACAAGCTTTTCAAGAAGTGCTAAGTACTTCAAGTTGAAATGAAAGGATGTTAGACAATAACTTGAAATCATATGAAAATATAAACATCTACAGTAAGGGCAAGTGCATGAGTGAATATAAAACCCAGTACTGCTGTAATTTTGGTTTCTAACTCCACTTTGTCTTTTGTACAGTATACAAAAGACAAATGCATAAAAATGATTGTAAGTCTGCTAATGGAATATGGAACAATATGGAAAGGTCTAATTTATGACATCAGTAACGTGAAGGGGGAGGAGCTGTGAAGAAGCAGTGTTTTGTATGTGATTGAAGTTAAGTCTGTATCAATTTAAAACAAATCGTTGTGACTTTGGATGTTATTAATGCATGTAACCCCTATTGTAACCCTAAGGAAAATACCAATGACACATACAACAGGGGAAATAAAGGGTTTAAAATGTATCACTACAGGCTGGGCACGGTGGCTCATGCCTGTAATCCTAGCACTCTGGGAGGCTGGGGTGGGTGGATCACTCAAGGTCAGGAGTTCGAGA